GTGGTTTCAGCCATCGGTGTCATAGTGCAAAGTATCATAAGGTGATTTGTGTAGTAAATTACTCTAAAGTTTATGTAAGAATAGAATATATGAAACAACACCCATTTTAAAAACAGTGCTTTAGTTGCAAATCTAAAAAAAAGGGAGAGAGAGAGAGATCTAATTACTTGAGAAAATACGAAAACACGTTGAAAGAAAATTATGGTAATTTTAACTAGAACATTTAATAAACTGCATATAAGGAGAAGAATTAGTCTTATCTTGAGCTTTATCGTCATGCTATATTAGTATATCTTTCAAAACCTTGCAAACAACATTCTATTGAAATTTAATTGATGCTGTATTTGATTGTTGAAGTGAATACGTTATTACTAGCATGTTGAGAGAAAATAGAGGAAATAACTCAATTATTCTACGTTACGCAGTAACCTAGACAATACTGGCTTATAAAAGTTTTAAACGGGGACATTCATATTAAAACTAGCGTATAAAATAACGAGGTAAGTACTGCCACTCCCACATTATAGTATACCCTAATCTCACATTTCATAGCTAACTGAAATATATATAATTATTTTTATTTTGTGAAATCAAGCTTGACCAAGAAAGATGCAGAAAAGTGCAGTCGAGGCAATTAAACGTCAGTAACTTCCTTTGTGAGCCAATCAAAATTAAGATCATTCATGAACTGAATGCGTGGCGTATTCATAGAATAATTATTGGTAAAAATCAGTTAGATTAACAACTTCTAATATATCGAAACGTCAGTGCGTTTTGGTAACACTACGTTCCAATACTGGCTTTTATGTCCTGTTGCTTAGCAACAAAAGTATAGCCTAATATTAAATAATTTAAAACGACACTTGTTTAAAACATCTATTTACAATTAAAAGGAATACAACGTTAAAATCTTACATAATAAATAGTCATTAAAAACAGGAACTTGCCCTAAAATGACTCTACATATGTTTCGGTGTGGTGTTGTTAGTCTGTGTACTGAAAGTATAAATTGAAATGTATAGACAACAAAATTGGAAAAAATATTTGTTTATTTCTTAATTTAGAGTCTCTGTTGATTGAAGAGGTTTGTTTTTCTATTAAAAACGTTGGTGATATAACAGAAAATAGCTTAATTCAGCAACGATTAAGTTTAAAATTGAATTCATTTTTTTTTTACTTTCATGATCCTACACTACGTTTTTACTTTAGGCTTATTATAGCAACAGTCACTACACTTATAAGGTTTCATGGCACCCCTCTCACGGCTCCCTTGCAACCCTGTCACTAAAATCGTAATGGGCAGACAGTAATCGAACTATTCGAGTTGGTGTTTTGTTTGTTTGCTTCCCAATTTCGAGTAAACATACACAAAAGCTTTCTGTGTATAATTTTGAACTGATAGACTAGAGGGAAAGCAGCTACTCAGTAGCACCCTGTTGTTGAACTACGCTTGTCTGATCCAGTTCTTAGATTTGACCGTCTCTTTTATATTGCACCCACGTCCCCTTATTACGGAACGCTTTTTTTTTCTTCTTTTTTTTTTTGCGGTAACACATTGAGAACCGTGAATCCTTAGATTCATAATCTGTGCCTGCTAGTAATCGGCCAAACAGATTGGAGTTAAAGGTTCTTTTGGATATTAGCAAAGCTACCCAAGGTCTATCTGCACTGGATGCCCCTAATTGTGAAGTAATAGACTAGAGAGAGAGAGAGCTAGTCAACAGCACTCACCGCCAACTCTTGGGCTATTCTAGTTGAATAGTGGGATTTGCAGTCACTCTTATATCAAATCCACATTGAAATACTTTGTAGCTAGGATACTTAAGATCGAAAAAAAGTAAAACTGTTTACCCTGTAACTATTATTATCAAAAATCCTGTTATAAATGAATAATTTGTCAAGTTTTAGTCATATATTTATGTAGGTGTGAAATCCTTGCACATAAATTAATTTTAGTTTGTTTCCGAAAATGTGAGAGAGTTGTTTAGTATTTCATATCTGAGGGATCTACCTACGGAATAAGTGGTAATATATACGGTGGAAAGGAACCAAGAAAGCCGGCTCTTCAGAAATGCGGTGCTGTAAGAGTGTGTGAAGAACCATGTAGTCGCGAGGGACGATGTTTCCATTCTGTTTTACTGTCTTGTTTATTTGCAACAAATGTTGTGAAGCTAACGCCAGGTACGTAATGAAACGTATACTTTGTTTAGTACCACTCACGTATGGAATACATTTTTTCATGGAGAAACACACGTATGTTGGTATAATATAAAGTATGAAATTTGTAATGAAACTTGACAAAATTCATAACACCAAACCTAATCATACTATTCAAACTTCACGTGCCTTCCCAATGGCTTCCCGGTAAGTTTGAAGGCTTATGCCAATAAAACTCGGATTTCGATATTCGTGGTAGGCATAGCATAGATAGCCATTTGTGTTTAACAATAGATAAACAAACCTGACGTGACAAAAACCTAATCCTAATGAGAGTATAGTCAAGTCTAACGTAATCAGGTTTATCAAACATAGCACAAGCAAACCTAGCCAGACTTCCAAGATTTTAACCAAATCAAGCCTAGCAATGTAAACCGCTAGAGGTGATATAATAGTGTGGTTTGTTTGTAGTTAAGCACAAAGCTACACAATGGGCTATCTGTGATCTGCCCAGCACGGGTATCGAAACCCGGATTCTAGCTTTGTAAATCCGCAGAAATACCGCTGTGGCACGGGGGGGGGCGAATAACACAATAAATGTAATTGTACATTAATATTTATCACAACCTTCCCACAATGCTATACTTCCAATCTGAGGGGCATAAGCTCTTAGAAGACAATAATCCATAATCTATGTCACACTTATTGTACGAAATCGGTATGAAGAACATGACATATAATCCATTCGTGGCCCTTGACAAATCACAACCATCGTATCCCAATCCAGTTGAACATTTATAATCTTCTGCCTATATCTATGAAGAAATTGTAGACAATAATCGTCATAAAATGGGCTTCATCAAAAAAAGACATCTGGCAGCAAAACGTGCTCCAACTCAATGTCTACTAAGTTGGCTGATTACTGTAGGTTGACACACTTGAAATATTTGCTTTCTGAAAATATCGCCATCCCTTAGATACATATTGCAATACCTAACTGGAATTGCATTGTTTATTTTTAATAGAAGGTAGACTTATGCAAACTAGAAACTGGAAAGAAAAGAAAAATATTAAACTCTTATAATACTTTTATCAGATAATTATTTTGTCCTGTTAATTTGTTGAAAACAACAACTTATGTCTTCCTACTATTTATCATATTAGTTTTAGAATAAAGGCATGAGCCTTCTCCTTCGTTCTATGCTTAGTAGTTTCAAACATTTAGTTCCAACATGGGAGACCCCCCCCCCCCAGTGGCACAGCAGTATGTCTGCGGACTTACAACACTAGAAACTGGGTTTAGATACCCGTGCTGGGCAGAACACAGAGAACCCATTGTGTAGCTTTGTGCTTAACTTCAAACAAACAAACAAACCAACATGGCAGAACACAGAACGAGTCACTTAATTTAAAGAACCATAATTTTTATAACACCGTGACCATTTCAGTAGAAAAGCACAGCATCTTATCTTGTTTTTCACTTCCGTTTGACAGATAACTGGAGAGACGGGATATCTCCAACGTTCTTTGGGGCTACTACCCCAGTTATCTTTCTGAAATTATATTATTTGCCGTGTTCTGCGAGGAGTATACTTTCTCTTATCTGTTTGTGGCGCCCCCCAGTGGCACAACGGTATGTCTGAGGACTTACAACACTAGAAACTGGGTTTAGATACCCGTGCTGGGCAGAGCACAGATAGCCCATTGTGTAGCTCTGTGCTTAATTACAAACAAACGAATTGTTTATGGCGTATTGCGTGAATTTCGTTTTACTGCTATTCTGTTTTACGGTGCTGAATTTTACGCTCATTCGCAAATGATTATCATCTATGTATTTAACTGTTTTTGTATATACCTACTTATATGCATACACAACTATTGTTAACGTAATCAAACTTTCCCTTACTGTAAATGCATCAAATATGTAAATACCTATATGTACAAAAACGTGGGTACGTTTCAAACGTATGCCTTTTGTCTATTTTAGTCTCAACTATTAAATACAACATCGAGAATGCATATTTTTGAATTTCATTCCTTTGAAATATAAGTTTATCAAGTTAGAATTATGTAGAACTAACCTCTATGATTTGGACCAAAGCTAAGCGCATTAGTTTGTGATGGATAAAACTACATTCGTTTCAGATTTTTAGGTTATATATGTATTCGAATGTTTATTACCAGAAATTAATCCGTCTGAGATTTTCTCTATATTTTGACAACCTCTTAAAGATCTTTCGAATGTCGGTACATATATACTGTTTCTTTCCCTTTCTCTGAATTGTACTTGTTACAAATTTTTGCCACAGTAGCATAATTTTTCACTTTATAAATTTTTATGAATATTAAAATACCGTACCAGACTAACTTTTATGAAGATAGATCTAAATGTTTCCAAGTTAAGAAACTGAACTTTCACCACCTTGCTCCGCAGTGGCTCAGCGGCAAGTCTGAAGGTTTATAACGTTGAAAACCAGGTTTCGATACCCGTGGTGGGCACAGCACAGATTGTCCACTATATAGCTTCGTGCATAACTACAAACAAACAGAATTCGCCACATTACTTCGTCACGCCCACTGGTGTCATCAGATCGTTACATATCAATGAGTCTCTTTATGTGAGTTCAAGTATAACAAGTGCAAGTAACTGGAAACTTTCAGTTTATGTAAAATACATATAGATGTCTTTTCTATTTCTTATATGTATATGAAAGAAACAAAATTTCTATAGATGCAATAAACGAGAAATGTTTTTAGTCAAGTAATAATGAAAAACAACTTAACACTATTAATTTTACAATTTCGAGGCTCTGAACTTCTTGACGACTTCTGTGTTTTTACAGATGTCGAGGCATCAAATATTTGGACATCTTACCACAGACTAGTGTTATTGTATGCTTTCACAACGAAGCTTGGAGTGTCCTTTTGCGGACAGTTCACAGTATCCTCGACAGATCACCTCAACACCTAATCAAGGAAGTTATTCTGGTAGATGACTTTTCTGACCAACGTAAGTTAGATAGAAATTTATAAATATTAATATATTTTTAAAAAAATTGAGTTAAGATACTATAGAACTGGTGATTTATTAAAGGCTTAGATTACGTAAGCCTTTTTCAGAGTAACTGTGACTTGAAAAAATGGTAATAAATAAACACTTCTAGAATTTACAGTAGTCGTTTATCTAATCACAATAAGGTTTAACTCCCATTTTTACTACGTTATTCTAAAACTTGCGTTTTATTTCTTTTTCAGAATGTCAAAATCATGGTTATCAGTTGATTTACATCTCAAAATCTTAGATATGTTTTCCTGTATCTATGAGGCGTGAAATAAGTAATTATTGCCATACAATCCACGTAAAATAATCGGAATTGAAATATGTGAAGAGAGTCGGGCGTGGTCTATTAGTTATCTTTCTAGGCTGCGAATCGGAAGGTCCGATGTTTGTACTCACGATACGCCGCCGAACACGCCTTGCACTCGCTATTCGGTAAAAAGTAGCCTTATGTGCGACGGTACAGCTAAGTGTTTGCCCTCCTTCTGGTTTGCAGCTTAATATTAGGAAAGGCAATGTCTGAACTTTGGGTTTTTCTGGTCTGACGTTTAGCCCATGTATGGCACGTTCCGTTTATGTCGAAAATACCTTAAGAATGTATATACGTAGATGATGATTTTGTTTGTTATTTATCTTAGGTTTACAAATAGGACAGAACAATTAATTAATTTTAAACGTACCAAATTCTTTTTATTGACTCAACGCATAATGAACATAGGATTTAAGTGACTGGCACTTAATAACAAAAGCGTATTTCAAAATCTTCAGTGGCTCTATTATTCATTACAAAAACATAAAATTTAAAATATTAATAATTCTGATTTTGGCCGTCTTGGCTTGTCGATCTTATGATGTTGTTGACATTGACATAACTGGTGGTTTCATGGATGTAGATTGAATCACAATTTGCTAGGTTAGAACATCATCATCGGCATATACGACTCCATAGAGATGGTAAAGACTTTAATCTTGTCAACATATTTTGTTAACTTATTCATTGATAACAAGTACAGTACTATTCCTCAAATATCCTTATTGCAAACATACGAGTATTCAATTACAATGTTAAACTGAGCGTTTGCCCTTATCTTCATTGATATATTTTTGGAAAAGTTCCGAGCTTTTCACTTTGATAGCCTTAAATTTACCCAAAAAATTGTTTTCTGGCAGGAATGCCTGATGCTTAGATCAACAGCAGAGGCCCGGCATGGCCAGGTGGATAGGGCGCTCGACTCGCAATCTGTGGGTCTCGGGTTCGAATCCCGTCCCACCAAACATACTCGCC